CTCTCTCTCTCTGCACTCATCCCCATTTGCTACCTCCCTCCCTCTCTTTATCCTCCCCTCCATTCACTACCACTTACCTTTCCAATACTCGTCCTCGCTCACCACCTCCGTCTTTAGCTTCCAATCTTCCTCATACCTCCCAATCCTCTTCACTCACCATCTCGCCCATTTTCGTCCGGTGTGGCCTTGCCTTCGACAGATCAATTCCTCTCAGGCTACTCTGAGGCAGGAGTCTCGTCGTAATCACCCAATAACCTTTTCCACAAAGGCAGTGTAGGGAAAGGGGGGAATTGGGGAGGTAATTGGTCACACGTTTGGCTATAACCCACGAAATTGGCTGGGCTTTGAAGGAAAAAGTATCTTTTTTGAGAGCTAGGGGCTGGCTGTAGGTGAATGGAAGGGGGACATTAAGGGTTTATTGAAGCTTAATGGTGATGAGGGGCAGGAGGAGGAAGGTGCTGCTGAGGTGCTTTTCAACCAAGGAACTGCAGCTGCCCTTTTTCTTTCATATTAGTGACAGACTTATAGGTGAGTACATACAGTTATTTATGAGTATGTGCGAATATGTGTGTGTGGGGGTATGTGTGTGTGTGTAATTTATATGTAGTATATATATATATATATATATATATATATATATATATATATATATATATATATATATATATATATATATATATATATATATATATATATATATATTTCGTGCCGAGTAGATAAACCTGGCCAGTTTCCAAGAACTCGTTTAAAATTAAGTCCTTTCTAAAATTTTCTCTTATACGTTTAAAGATATACTTTTTTATTTATGTTCATATAAAAAATAATTTTGTGCCAAAATAACCTTAGAAAACTTACTTAACCTTATTATAACAAGCGCTATTTAATTTAGCCTAATCTAGCTAAATATATTTTACGTAAGTTTACAACAATTTAATAATAAAGAAACACAATGAAATATATATTTTTCGTTAGGTTCAGAATTATTTTTGCGAAATTATTACTTACACAGAAAAGCATGGCTACACAAACCAAACTCGCAAGTTTTACCTATTCGGCACGACATTATATATATATATATATATATATATATATATATATATATATATATATATATATATATATATATATATATATATAATATATATATATATATATATATATATATATATATATATATATAATGTATATGTACATATGTATGTATATATGTATATGTACATATGTATGTATATATATGTATATGTATATATATATGTATATGTATATATATATGTATATGTATATATATATGTATATGTATATGTATGTATATATATATATATGTATTTTTTTCAACAAGTCGACCATCTCCCACCGAGGCAGGGTGGCCCAAAGAGAGAGAAAATCCCCAAAAAGAAAATACTTTCATCATCATTCAACACTTTCACCACACTCACACATAATCACTGTTTTTGCAGAGGTGCCCAGAATACAACAGTTTAGAAGTATATACGTATAAAAATACACAATATATCTATGTATGTGTATATATCTGTATATATGTAGGTAGTAGGTTGGTAGACAGCAACCACCCAGGGAGGTACTATCGTTCTGCCAAGTGAGTGTAAAACGAAAGCCTGTAATTGTTTTACATGATGGTAGGATTGCTGGTGTCTTTTGTCTGTCTCATAAATATGCAAGATTACAGGTATGTCTTGCTACTTCTACTTACACTTAGATCACACTACACATACATGTACACATTTATATATACACACTCATGTGAGTTTTCTTTGATTTTATCTTAGTTCTTGTTCTAATTACTTTTTCTTTTATGTCCATGGGGAAGTGGAATAAGAATCTTTCCTCCGTAAGCCATGCGTGTTGTAAAAGTCAGTTAAAATGCCGAGAACAATGGGCTAGTAACCCCTTTTCCTGTAATAATTACTAAAAAGAATAAGAAAATTGTCAAAGTGGGAAGTCTGAATGTGCGTGGATGTTGTGCGAATGATATATATATATATATATATATATATATATATATATATATATATATATATATATAATATATATATATATATATATATATATATATTATATATATATATATATATATATATATATATATATATATATATATATATATATATATATATATATATTATATATATATATATATATATATATATATATATATATATATATATATATATATATATATATATATATATATATATATATATATATATATATATATATAATATATATATATATATATATATATATATATATATTTTAATGTATGTATACATCCGTAGGGGAGTTGAACGATAGCTCTAGGCCTTTCGTGTTGCAATTAACACTTCAAGAGTTTGCAGTGTTGCAGAAGGGAGTAGGAACATAATTAGTGGAACATAGTTGCTTCAATATACCGTCAGTGATCATCGCCCCTACTGCCCGATCTTGGACCAGCACTTCCTAATCAGTCATGAGCGCATATTTTTCTGCGGATTCTTATTAGAGGAATATTAAAATGTTCATGGTATTCACTTTCTTGGGGGGAAAATGAATGTGTAAATTCTTGAATGTATTTTAGATCTAAAGGTCTTTTCAACTTTTTCCACGAAATCTAAAATTTTGTGACTTGCTCTCAATGCCGGTAAGTAGATTTTCCTGTTACAGCGAGCTACCATGACCGACGTACAGCGGTATACTAATACAGTTGTACACCCACCAGTCACTATAGCTGTACAAATACTTGCCACTACAGTTGTACACCCACCTGCCACTACAGCTGTACACCCACTTGCCACTACAGCTGTACACCCACCTGCCACTACAGCTGTACACCCACTTGCCACTACAGCTGTACACTCACCTGCCACTACAGCTGTACACCCACTTGCCACAACAGCTGTACACCCACTTGCCACTACAGCTGTACACCCACTTGCCACTACAGCTATACACCCACTTGCCACTACAGCTGTACACTCACCTGCCACTACAGCTGTACACTCACCTGCCACTACAGCTGTACACTCACCTGCCACTACAGCTGTACACCCACCTGCCACTACAGCTGTACACTCACCTGCCACTACAGCTGTACACCCACCTGCCACTACAGCTGTACACTCACCTGCCACTACAGCTGTACACTCACCTGCCACTGCAGCTGTACACTCACCTGCCACTGCAGCTGTACACCCACCTGCCACTACAGCTGTACACTCACCTGCCACTACAGCTGTACACTCACCTGCCACTACAGCTGTACACTCACCTGCCACTACAGCTGTACACCCACCTGCCACTACAGCTGTACACTCACCAGCCACTACAGCTGTACACTCACCTGCCACTACAGCTGTACACTCACCTGCCACTACAGCTGTACACTCACCTGTCACTACAGCTGTACACCCACCTGTCACTACAGCTCTACACCCACCTGTCACTACCGCTGTACACCAACCTGTCACTACACCCACCTGTCACTACAGTTGTACACCCACCTGTCACTACACCCACCAGTCACTACAGCTGTACATCACCAGTCACTACAGCTGTACACCCCCCTTTCCCCCAAGCTCTACCCCCACCTGTCCTACCGCTGTACACCAACCCTGTCACTACACCACAGTTACAGTTGTACACCCACCTGTCACTACACCCCCCCGCCCACCCCCACCAGTACTACAGCTGAAACACCCCCTGTCATCAGCTCTCACCACCTGTCACTACCGCTGTACACCAACCTGTCACTACACCCCGTCATACAGTTGTACACCCACCTGTCATACCCCCACCAGTCACTACAGTTTACACTCACCAGTCACTACCTTTTACACCATTGCCACTACAGCTGTACCCCCACTTCCCCACTACAGCTTAACCCACCTACCCCTACAGCTGTACCTCACCTGCCAACTACCTTAACCCACCTCCACACAGCTGTGCACCCCCCTCCCACTCAGCTGTGCACCCACCTGCCATAAGCTGTCCCCCCCTCCAACAGCGTACACCCACCTCCCACTACAGCTGGACCCACCTGCCATACAGCTGTCCCCCACCTGCCACTACGCGTTACACTCCCCTCCACTCAGCTGTCACCCCCTGCTACTACAGTGTAACTCCCCTGCCACTCAGCGTACACCCACCTGCCACTACAGCTGTACACCCACCTGCCATACAGTGACCCCACCTGCCACTACAGCTTACACCACCTGCCATACAGCTGCACCCCCCACCTGCCATTCCTGTACCCCCACCTGCCACTACAGCTGTACACTCACCTGCCACTACAGTGTACCCCCACCTGCCCTACAGCTGCCTCACCTGCCATACAGCTGAAACCTCACCTCCCACTACAGTGTACACTCCCTGCCATACAGCTTACACCCCCCTGCCTACAGTTGTAAAATTACCTACTACTAAATTTCTTCAATACAGTTATTTTGTGTTTTTGTTAAGAAAATATATTAATATATATATATATTAATATTAATATAATATATATTATATATTATAATTTAATAATTCCCCATGGGGAAGTGGAAAAAGTCTTCCCCCCTAAGTCATGCTTGTCGTAAGAGGTAAAAAAATGGGTAACAAGGAACTGTAACGCCTTTCCCTTTATAAATTGCTCAGTAAAAAGATTAAGTTTTTTTTTTCTTTTTAGGTACCCTGCCCTCGGGGGAGAAAACCGGGCGTTTAAAAAAAAAATATAAAATTTTAATATTTTTTTTTAAAATTATAACAGTGTTGCAAAGCTGCCTATGGAAACAGGGTAGAGTGATGGTGAAAGTGTTTTGTCCTTTTTTGGGGACCCTTTCCTCTGTGGAAGACAGCCAGTGCGTAAAAAAAAAAAAAATTTTTCTCTGTGTTGAAACGTATCGAAAATGTGAACGTACTAACAGGGGTGTTGTAAAATTTTTCCATTCAAAAGAAACACTATTTATTCCCTAGTCATTTCCCGGATAATGTAATTAAAAACTTTATTTTCTCCCCCACCACAGTTTGTCGTCAGCTCTCCCGGCCAGGTACGCCATGGTAGGATCAGTGCCTCCTGATTGCTTCGACACCCTCCCTCTTTTGCCAACACATTCCCGATCCATCGTACTCCCCTTGGGTTTTCCCGAACGTGGTGTTTTACTCTTTTTAGTTTTCTCTGTCAAAAAATCTGGGTGCACCAGCAGGTAACACACGGGGAGGTTTAGGTCACATTCGCTGGTGAGGGGGCAGGGACCATTTACTGGGAGTGGGAGGAGGCAAAAGGCTTTCATGAAATAATGAAAGGAGGGAAGCAATTTGAGGAAAAGGGAAAATATAACAGGGAGGAATGGTTAAAATACGGGTTAGAAGCTCCAACTCGTTTCCGGGAGTCTTCCCGTGCGTAAAGGGGGATTGGTCAGGTGACCTTTCATGGATGCGACGCGTGTCTCCAGAAAAATGTTTTACATTTATCAAGGGGTACATAACATTTTTTTGGAATTATGGGTTTGGACAATGAAAAGTGTTTTTTTTTTTTATTCCCTTTCATCATGGTTTACGTAAGAGGGGAAAAGCGAATAAAAAAATTTTTCCCTTTTCCCCCATATTTTTTAAAATGAATTTTAAACTCACCCGTTTTTTTAATTTTATTGCATCCAAGTTCTCTGTTGGGATTTCGTTTTTTTGTTCCCATGTAACTTAACGTAAAATCAAGGTTATTTAAACCGTGTGTTAACAAGAAAGAAAAAAACCCGCACAAATCAAGTTTAGTTAAAGACATGTGAAAAGTGGAACGAAAGTAAGTCCCCTTTTCATAACCCCTTACATTAGAGTTAAAACCCCAAGGCCAGTGCCTATTTAATATAATATTTTATATATATATATATAATATATATATAAATATATATATATATTTATATATATATATTAAGTAAAGGTCTCTTTACTTAAGGGATTTATTTACGCAAAAACTGAATCAAACTTAATTTTCCTTCACACTCTGTAAACACCAATAGAGAAATGTGACCCGGGGGCAAAAAAAAATGTTGAATTTCAGTGAGAAAAAAAATTTTTTTAAAAGTTTTTATGACACGTTCTTGAAACCCAAATAAATTTTATTAGGTGAACATTGCAAAAAAAAACAAACACACACCACACAACACAGAAAACCACAGAACAGCGGGGGGCCAAGGCAAAAGTACGAAGAGCAATAGAGGTGGTTGACACCTGGCTAATGGCCAGAAGAGCTCATGAAAGCAGGGCAAAGCTCCTGATCATGGGGTTTACTTTAAACCCCAAGGAGATGTTTGGGAGAACTTGGACCCACTTGGGGGCCAAAATATTGGAGGGGTAAGATGATGGAGGTGGGATGGGGAAATTCATGTACCAAAAAGTAAGGGACACTAAAAGAGAAAGGGGGAGGGTGAACCCGCAAGGTGGACTTAGTATTTACCTTTTAGTAGTGCGATATCGAGGGCATCACATATGAAAGAACCCCCTTTGGGGGGAGTGCCCTGGGGGTTTAAGCTTCGAATCACAGTTGAGCTACAAATGGAGGGGAAAAAAGGAAGGGCCCGGGCGAAGAAGCCAAACTAAAGAAAGGGGGCACAAGGGAAAGGGAAAAAACCTGAACGGGGTTATGGGACAGAGAACTGGCAGGGGAAAACCCTTTAAAAGATGAGGGAAAATGTAGCAATTTTAAAAAGAAAGGGGCTGAGGAAGGTTTGTCCCAAGGGGAACGGAGAATGGGCCCGGATGAGCCCATGGTTTACCCAAAAGGGCAGGGAGGCAAAAACCCGTGTGCTAGGGGAATGGAAGAAATTAGAAGGCAAAGGCCCCAGGAAATAAGGAGAACAGCGTAGAGCCAAAAATGATTGCACAGAAAGAAGGGGGCCCCAAAGGGCAATAAAAAGAATAGCAGCGAAAGCCAAATCTGACCCAAAATGTTTACGCCACTCAGAGGAAAACAACAGTCAAGGCCAGGGAACAGGGTAAAGGGAAGGAAGGAGGGGAGACAACAGGAAATGCCCGGAGTAGTGAAAAACTCAAAAGAGATTCAAAAAATGTTCACAGAGGAACAGAAGGGGCCCCGAAAGACGGAGAGGTGGGGGGGACACCCCCAAGTGCGGACACAGTGCACACAACCCAGGAAGAAGGAAAAGGGGTTCGATGAGCTAGATCCCCAAAGGGATGGGGCCAGAAACATCTCCCCTGGGGATTGAAAAAAGGGAGCAAGGGCATGTGTCCCCAACAACAATATTCAAACACCGAAACAGGGATTGCCTGAGGCATGGAAACAGCAAATTAGTCCCCCAATCTTTAAAAAAAGGGGACGACATGAAGCATTTTAAATACAGCCATGTCACGAAATGAATATGCAAAATCATGGGAAATTTTCAGGAGAAAAGTGGTGGAACACCTAAAAGGAAGACTCTCAACAGCAGCCAGCTGGTTTTTAGGGGAGGGGAAATCCTGTGTCACAAACCTACTGGAGTTCTATGACATGGTGACAGCATAAGACAAGAGAGAGAGGGGGGGTGGATTGCATTTTTTTGGGGACTGCAAAAGGCGTTTGACACAGTTCCACACAAAGTTTGGGTGCAAAAACGGGAGCCCAAGCAGGGATAACAGGAAGGCACTACATGGATGGGGGGAAACTTGCAGAAGACAGCAGCGAGTCATGTACGTGGCGAGGTGTCAGATTTGGGGGCCCCTTTTCCAGGGGGGGTCCCCGGGGTCAGTCCTGGGGCCAGTGCTGTTTCGGGTATTTTGTGAACGCCATGAGGGAAGGAATAGACTCTGAGGTTCCCTTTTTTGCAGAACGTGAAGTTGATGAGAAAATACACTCGCGAAGACCAGGCAAACACAAAGGTTCTGGACAGGCGCAGAACTGGCCCCAGCAATTGGTCCGGATTTAAATCCCCCCAATGCAAAGCATAAAGAGGGGGAAGGCAAAGGGGGGCCGCAGAGGGAGTACAGTCGGGGGGGCAGAGACACAAACCTCCTAAAGGGAAAAAAGACGGGGGGATTAAAACACAGGACATCTCCTGAAGCGCACATAAACCCAAAATAATGCTGCAGCATAGGGGCCTAAAACCTCAAAACAGCATTCCGACATCTTAATAAGGAATCGTTCAGGACCCTGTACACCGTTAAATTAGGCCCATATGGAGTAGCGGGACCCTTTGGAACCCAACCCAGCCCAAACACTAAAAAACTAGAGAAAGTGCAAAGGGTTTTCAACAAAACATCCCCCGAGCTAAGAGGGATGTCCTCGAGGGGAAAGGGTTAAGGGGAAAACAACCCCGACCACTGGGGAAGGAGGATAGGGGGGGCAGATAACGAAACAAAAAACTGAAGGAAATGACAAGGGGGACAAAAAAAGGATGTTCCAAATTGGACACAGTAACGGGACACAGTTGAAGCAAAAAACACAGATGAATCACAGGATGTTTTGGAAGTATTTCTTCCCGCACAAGTAGTCAGTATGAATAGTTTGGGGAAGCGATGAGTGGAGGCAGGATCCATACAAGCTTTAAGCAGAGGGACATAAAGCTCACGGCCCGGGGGGGTTTACCTAGTACGATCAGTGAAAAAGGCGGGGGCCCGGACTCGGGCTCGACCCCCAACCCCAATAGGTGAGTACAACTAGGGAGTACACACACACACACCCCCACACCCACACACACACACCCCACCACACACACCCAGACTCGAAAACCCCGGAAAAAGTGATAAACTGAATGTTTAGTACTACTGAAAGTCAGTTTGACTGGTTCAATACTACTATTACAGAAAACCCAAAAACAGCAAATGAAAATGGCGAAGAAAGACATGCAATTAAAAAACCTTTCAGAGAAGACAAGGGGACATGAACAAAGCACACACAGTGTGAACAAGAGATTTGTATAGTTGGACAAGGAAACAAATGAACCATTGTAAATACTGTAGGTACCTTTGTGTTAGCCAACCGATGGGGCTCGCATCGCAACGGGGAATAGTCCAACTTCTGACTTCACATTTCATGTGTTTGATTAGACAGCAGTGTTTTGTGCAAGGAAATTAGCTAATTTTATATCAGAGCTTCTGTAGATTTAGTTTTTCACAATCCTAAGATTATGCTCAGTTTGCATTAATTATGCCCGCAGGTAATGTTAACATTTTAGATCTTCAGTATTTGGGAGATGCGTGAAGACTTCTCAGTATATGACAATACTAGTATAATAGTCTGTTTATATACGATATTTGACGAATACATGTCACAACTGTTAGATCTTTGAAAAAAATCTCTGAAGGTTTAGAAGGAAAGCAAAATGTAGTCATGGTCTACACGGATTTACAGAGGCATTTGATAGATGCGACCATGTTATATATAGCTCGTTAAATGAGGTGAACAGGTATAACAAAAAATAGGGAAGCAGATATTCATATATCTAACAGAACAGAGAGTAGAGGTAAATCAGACTCTTTGCAAGGTTAAAAGTTCAGTAGTCCAAAGCAAATGTCTGTCACCTTTTAATGTTTATCATCCTGTTAGGATATAGTTAAAAAAAAAAAACACTTACCATAGACGATTTTAAAATATGCTTGAAAAATCACCTCTGGGAAAAATATTTTAGTGGCCAAAGAATAATCTCATAAAGTTGAGTTTTGATTAATTCTAATTGCTTAGATATACAAAGGAAGAACATTTCAATTGAATACAGAATACAGTATACAGTAACTCCATCTGAGAGAACCATGGAGCACGTAAAAGCCTTAAAAATATCAGATGACATATCGAATAAAAGGGCACAATACCGCGACTGGAACAATACACAAATGCACATAGGAGAATGAAATTTATGACGACGTTTCGGTCTGATTTGACCATCAATTAGTGACGTCATGAAATTCATTCGATATGCGGGTTATTTGTGTATAAATGACATATCGTCTAGAGAACACAAGGCTAATGTATTAAATTCACGAAAATATTAGAGTTTGAGTAATGAGAGCCATCAGAAGAAAAGAAATGCCAATGATTGTGCAGTTCAAATATCTTGTTTGCTCACATCACGAATATTGCTAATCTCGCGGGAAATTTCAAGAAAGTAG